GATATATTTGAATTTATTTTGTTAAAATTTTATTTTTATTATATTATGTGTATATAATTTTTTTTGATTTTAAAAATTTCCGCATAATTTTGGTCGTTGACTGTAAATTTGCTAAAGATGAGAATATAATGGCAAAATTCTGTTTAAAGTGAAATGACCTTCTTCGTTCAAAATTTTTTAGGACACATTTTGTTATTTATTGTATACTCGCATAAAAATCCAATAATATTGAACTTATTTTTTATTTATATTATAAAAATCTTCAATTCTTTGAATTTTATTTTCCTAGAGAAATTGCTTTCAAGGTTTCAAATATTCGAAAGTTTTTTATAATTCAAAAACATTTTTTTATAAATTTTAAATTTTATTTTTTAAGAAACTTTTTCATATTTTTCACTTCTCTCTTTCTTCTTTATTTATTTATTAATTAATTAATTTATTTATTTTTAGTAATGGAAAATGATATTTTAAAGAGATTTTTAATTTATTAATCCAAATATTATTGCGTAAATTTATACTTATTCCAATACGTAACTAGGTTATTCAGAGTTAATATGATAAGTCACATGCGCTTACGCGCATGTGACTTATATAAACCCGTGAATAACCTAGAATAAGTTTTTATATGCTAAGTAGTAAAACCTTCAATTTTTTTTAATCAATTATTGTATGTTTTATACTTCCTTTAATAAAACAATTTTTTAAAATGAAATAATAAAAGCGATTATAAATAAATTTCACTATATTTAAGCTAGTAATAATAATAAATGAGACCAGTTGTTTGCCTTTAAAATTCCACACCTGTTTTGTGTCGCAAACTTAAATGTGGTGTAACACTATTGTCATGCATGCAATGGTTTAAATTTAATTTTCTCAGTGATTTTTTTTTTTTTTATTCAATTTTAATTTTCTATAAAATGTCCTTAGAAAGTTTGCAGGATGATTATGAAAAATTATTTGAAAATGACAAAAAATATGATGTCATTATTTATGCCGGTGAAAATGAAAACGTTAAAGAATTACATGCCCTTTCAAACATTTTATGTTTCAGGTCGCAATATTTTTATGATGAATTAAATAAAGAAAATGTTGAGAAGAAGGAAGGGAAATTTATTTTAAAAATACCCAACATTCCTCCAGATCTTTTTAAAATTATCTTAAGGTAAATTAATTCGACAACTACGACAATGATATGAACCAAATTACTAATATCACTTTGTATTTCAGATTTATATATTGCGGAAGGATTGACATGACGAAATTAGAAGGAACTGAAATGTTAAAGCTCTTAAAAGCGGCAGGAGCACTTAATCTTCAATCATTAGTTCCCGAAATTGAAGATTATTTAATTAACGACCATCAAGAGTTTTTACAAAAAAATCCTATAGGAATTCTTGAAACAATTTACCAACATGAGACTTTCACAAAATTACGAAATTTTTATTTTGAAAAAATTTGTGAAGACCCCAAAGAGTTTTTCACTTCTGATAAATTTCTCAGTATAAAAGCACCTTTATTAGAAATCCTTTTAAAACGGGATGATTTAAGTCTGGATGAAATTGATATTTGGGACAGTTTAATTAAGTGGGGTTTTGCTCAGAACCCGTCTATTCCTAAAGACGTCAAAGAATGGAGCAATGAAGAAACTACAGTTATGGAAAGAACCCTTCATAGATATATCCCTTTAGTTAGATTTCATCATATTTCTTCAGGAGATTTTCTTGAAAAAGTGCTTCCTTTCGAAGAATTGCTACCGAAGGGTTTGTTCGTTAACCTCTTAACATATGCTATAACACCAGATAAGAAATTAAACATTAATATTCAACCACCTAGACAGTCAAAATGTGATTCAATCCTAGTTAACTCTCGGCATTTTGCTAAATTTTCCGGTTGGATTGATAACAAAGAAATTAATTACAAAAATTCACCTTATGATTTTAATTTACTTTATCGTGCCAGTAGGGATGGTAATACAAATGCAGCATTTCATCAGAAATGTGATAATAAAGGTGCCAATATAGTCGTAGTAAAAATTAAAGGAACTGAACAAATAGTGGGAGGATATAATCCATTTGGGTGGGAAGGAAGTGGTCAATGGAAAGCTACCAAAGATAGCTTTATTTTCTCATTCGTAAATAGAACAAACCTTCAAAATGCAAAAGTAGGTTATATTAAGGATAATCTAGCTCAATATGCTGTACATTGTCGTTCAGATCTTGGTCCATATTTTGGTAATAATGATATTTATTTTGGTAGTAATAGTATTTGGTATGCTAATAATCCAATGTCTTATTCTCAAATTGATATTCCAAATGGTTCGTTTCAAGTAGATGATTATGAGGTGTTTCAAGTTAATAAAAGATAATTACAAGCATTAATAGCATCTTTTCAAACAAAAATTTACTTTGTAAAACACATAATTTTACGATACTTTTAAAAAAATATTGATTATTTTTAGGATTGGATCGGTCCGACCCAAAAAGACCGGTCCATAAGTAGTCCTTAGAAGGACCGCAAGGACCGATCCCATTAACCGAACTGAGACCGGCCCTACCAGCACCGATCCATTTTCATGAATACTTATTTAACTGTAAACTATAATTTCAAATTCGGATTTTACTGATCGAATTTTTTTTACATGAAGATTTATAACGAATTTAATCAGGTACAGAATTACGTGGATTTTACTTTAAAGAATGCTACTCGAACCGGAAAATAAATATAATGCATACCTCTTAAGTGCATAATGAAAATTAAATAACTTTGTGCTTTCCAATTTTACCAATTTGGAAGTGTTAATGAATTAAATGCCAAAAAAATGGTGGAACATCGATATTTGCGACCATCAAAATGCTACAAAATTTAGAGCAAGGAATGCCCTATTTTACAATAACTAATGGAATTACAGTTGCCGTTGAAGATTCACGGAGAACGTCAAGTGCATCATCAAGGAGCAGGCTGGAAATAAGTTGATGCATGTATTGAAGCTTTTTAATATATGGACGAACTCTAGGAAGCGATAACGACAGTTGAAAAGAAGACTTCTACAAAAAACGACATTACCGAATCAGGTTAAGTTTTGTTAGCAATAGGTTCAAAAAAAAAATTTTTTTTTCGGATTTAAATTAGAATATATAGATAGAACTTATTTATTGTTTCGACGATATTAGACGAATTAGATTCATCAAACGATTCCGGAATTGATGAATAAATATCAACAATTTCATCAATTTCATCGATTTCAATTATATTTTATCAGGTGATAATGATGCAACTTCAGAAACCATGGTTTCATTGGTCACAGCGAATTTTTTTTTTGGTTTGCGAAATACTGTACTTTGCGTTTAAGAGATTTAAATGTCTCGGAGAAAATTTATTTGATTTATATGTTGTTTTGGCCAGAATTAATTACCTTCTAATGGTCCATATCAAAAGGTGGGAACATACATTTGGGAAAATAGGAACGAACTTTTTGTCAAATATCGAAAAGTCGGGATCGAAAGTTGTTGTTTGCATTTTTAGTTGAGAAGTTGAGTATTTTAAAGTTAAAGTTTTTTTTTATTTAGTAGTTGTTGTGTTTGCAGCAAGGTATCTTTGAGCTACCCTACTTTTATAACTTTTGAGTAGAATAAGTAATACGTGTTAATGTTGATTATAATTGTCAATTAATTTAATGACATCATTATCTTTGGACGTATTATTACGAATGAAAGTAACATTATTGATTGTTGGGTTGTTATCTTTAAAATGTCTTTTTACCGAGAAGAGATGATTTGTTGTTTACGGGCTTTTTCATTTTAAAATATTAAGTATTGTATTCGCATTGTCGAAAATAAATACTAAACAGTATCTTAAATTCCGTCAATACAAAAAATAAGATTCTACATACATACAATACTTTCTTTGTGTTTTTCATATTGAAAGAAAATTTATATTTAAAGAAATGTATCATATAACGATATTACATTCAGCGCTATAACACAAAATTCATTTAATTTTCCGTATCAAATAATCAAATGACGCATACAAATTATAAGAATCACGTGATACAACTTGGATAAAATATTGTCATGTCCTTCGTATTGTTAGGACAGTGCAACGAATAGAAAACTGTCATCGATTCCTGTGATAATAATTCAACTAAAAAACTTGAATCAAATGCTTGCCAAATTGGATGTTGAAGAAAAAATGACCTTCACCACCACAATTCCTCATTGTGAGTAAAACATTACATTCCAATCTTGATTATCATAATCACGGTAGAGAACAATGAATGCGCAGAAAACAATACACGAACCGACCACCGAATGATAAATTTATCACGTTAAAAGGAATTGTAATACTGCTTTTTCAATTAGGCATATTTAGCGTTATGTAATTTTTTTTTTTTGACTTCTCCGGGCTTGTGTGATCAGAATGGTTTTCCCTTATTATTTTTTGTTTTTAAATTCCTCACCTCAGAGCGATCGCTTCGGAAGTAAATGTAGTATTTTTCTTTTAATTTCTTTTTAATCGAATTTAAGCTACAGCGCTAAAAATGATGGTAGTTTTATTAAAATAAAATAATTGCCGCACTTATTGCGCCATTATTTACGTCCACGAATGATAATTATAAGAAGCCCAATGTCGCAAAATTTAGCTACAGTGAAGAAGCAAGTAAAATATAATTCGAGTTTCTACGTAAATAATTGTTTCATAGATGAAATACAAATCAAGTTTTTCAATGGAGGTTGGTGTCATAAAAAAAAAAAAAACAAACGTTCCTCTATGTGTCTTTCTTCATATTTCCTACCCATGCCATTCTTATCCGCATCACATCCAGTAAGTTTGGTTAAAGTTATATTATATCAAATATGGACGTCATTTTTATTTCAACTATTATAAATCGCATAATTTTGGCATAATACTTGCAAAACGAAAAAAAAATTGTTCATGACAATATTTTTCGGAATATTTATGGGTCATAAAAAGATTACAAGTTTTCTTCATGGATAAAAATCCAAATTTTCATAATCTACGAAATACTTTACAAAATGATATTTATCTTTTTTCGTTTTCCAATCATTATCAACTTTTCCTTTAAGAATTGCCCACAAATTCTCGATTGGGTTTAAGTCAGGAGAGTATAATCTGTAAAGAAAGAATTATGTTAACGATAATATCAATTAAAAGGAATTAATATAAACAATATATTTATATAACGGAAACTTTTAAAAGGATATCCATTCGTAAATATCGGAAACTTGGAAACAATCTATAAACACCTGTCAAGGATATAAAAAAAAATAATAATAATAATAATAAATGAATTGTGTAAAACAAGAAAATAATAAAATAAAATTTATGGGACTTACTAAAAGTTCAAAGTACAAAGCTAGATTCTTCGAATATTGTCTACCGGGCTTTTATTCTCAATGTGGGACAAAAGTAAACATTAATTCTTTGCGTCAAGTTATATGAATATATAAAATAATCGGTGACGACTTATAATTCTATTTTTTCTTATCATCCTCTATAATAAACGAAAATTAATAATAAAACTATTAGGTAAAATCTGGAAGATTCGAATTTTTCAAATTTTTAAAAAAATAAAAAATTCTTATATTATAAGTGCCTTATAGAACTTGACATGTGAATGTTAAAGGTCATAAATTCCTGAAGCCCGATGGGCAGAAACCAGTGGTCTTAGAAATTCTCTCATAATGTTTTAGGTATATGAGGTATATATTTTATTTGTTAAAAACATAATATTTTTTTTATCATGCGTTTAGAGATTTTCTATTATCCGCTAAAAGAGGTATTAAGTTGCGATCATTGTATTTTAAGTAATTTCATTTTAGAAATAAGTACAAACTAAAATATTAGTCATTTTGCAAATTGAAACAATAAAAACACACCAACTATAATATAATAAAGCGAAATTAAAGTAATACTTCATTTTTTTATAATTTAGAAGTTACATAAATTAATGAATATAAAATTTTATAAGCAAACTAAAGAAGAAAATTAATGCACCACTTTATTGTTTTAGATCGAAAAAAGATTTGAAATAATCAATATGAAATTATTTAGTAAATCAATGATATAACGATAAATAATCTGTATCGTTTATTTAGTATTTTTCTTTAATTAAAAAGTAAAAAAAAATTAGATATCGAAACCAAATTCTTTTGTTTCATAACCTTAAAAGAAAAATTATTAATTAATTTAATACATAAATTAAAAATTTAAAATCAGGATTTACCTTTAGATAATTTAGACTTCTTTAAACTTCTATCACGCTCTTCTTCGAAACTTCTTTTATCTTTAAAAAGGATTAATTATATTTAACATCGATGGGTATGGGTAATTAAATGAGAATTACATATTTTTGTTAAGAAATATTACCCAATATTGAAGTAGTAGGTTGACTTCTCAAACTCCAAGATGATACAGCAGATTTTATCATATGATTTAAATGCCTACTTGAATAGATTGCTACTGGATTATAGGCTACGGGCCCAATATCTGGTGATTTAATAATTTCTGTTGGATTATGGTATTCAACACTCCATATATTATGTAATGTTCTTTTTATATTATTAGCTGCCGGTCTTTTATTTGGATCAGAATCCCAGCATTCCTGCATTAATTTAATATAGCCTTTAGGAGCGGTTGATGCTATTGGAGGACGTTGACCATCTAAAATTTGAATTATAAGTTCTGTATCATGAACTTTATTCCAAAAAGGTCTTCTACCTGTCATAATCTCCCACATAATTATACCAAAACTATATATATCTGAAGCTTTAGTATATCTATTTCTATTAAAAACTTCTGGTGCAACATAAGGGATAATTCCATAAATTTCATTACATCGTTTGCTAAATCAATTGCAGATTTGCTTAATCCTAAGTCACATATTGTTACTAACTTATTTTTTATAAGAAGATTTCCACTATGAAAATCACGATGAATAATTTCTGAACTATGAATATCATTAAGTCCATTTACAGTAGATATTAACATAGATAATTTATCCTTCCAGCCAATACTATAAAAGTTATTTGATATATAATGCTTTAGATCGCCTAATTCATAATAATCCATAACAATCATAAAACCTTTTGTAATTGGATTTTGGTTATTCCATAACATTTGTTTAAATAAGGTCCATAAGAAAATGCATCCTTTTTAAATGTTATATTATAATCATGAATAATTTTAAGCTAAATATTTAAAAATGATTAATAAAATGTACATCAATATTAAATTGAAATAAATAAAAATAAATTAATTTATACCCCATTTAGATTTCCAATAGTGAGATTTTTGAATTATCAAGTGTTTTAAGCGCAACTTGTTTAAAACTACTTCGTTTGAGAATTGCATCTACATCCCAACTCAATATATTACCATCGATCCAAGTAGCTTTATAAATTTTACTAAATCCACCTTTAGCAATAAATTCAATATCTTTAAATTGATTATATGGAATAAATTCCATTATTTCAGATATATTAGATGCATGAGAATGCATTTGTGTATATCTGATAAATTCATCCACAACTTTATTTTTACTTTTATATAATAAGTGATCTATTATATATTGCTTATTGAATATATTTATATTTGATATTATCATAATATCTTTCGTAACAGGGTCTTGAGTTATTCCGTAACACTCTTGACTATTATTAATTTGCTAAAATTTTCAAAATGTATTAATAAAAGTTAAATCAATTGTATTACGGAAAAGTTAATACATACCATACTCAAGTCTTCAGAAATGATGTTTTCAGAATTATTAAGTCTTTTAAGAACAACTTGTATAGATCCGTTCCGTTCAAATTTATCCTTATTCATATTCCAACATATAATATAACCATCAATCCAAGTAGCTTTATAAACTTTAATTAATTCATTTTCGACACATAAATTTATATCAATCAATTGATAATAAGGAATAAATTCAATCATACCACCCTTCTTATTAATTTATCTATTTCTAATAAAATCATCCACAACTTCATTTTTACTTTTGTATAATAATAAGTGATTTACTATATATTGCTTATATTCTGTCAAATTGAATTTGAATTTATTTATATTTGAAAATTATCATAAAATCCTTTGTTATAGGTTCTTGAGTTATTCCATAACACATTTGACTATTATCGAATTGCTAAATTTTTTAACATGTATTAATACAAGTTAAATATAATTATATTACAGAAAAGTTAATACATACCATACTCAAGTCTTCAGAAATGATGTTTTTAGAATTATTAAGCCTTTTAAGAGCAACTTGTGTAAATCCATTCCGATTAAAGTTTACCTTATTCATATTCCAACGTATAATATAACCATCAATCCAAGTAGCTTTATAAATTTTACTAAATTCGTCTTCGACACAAAATTTTATATCAATTAATTGATCATAAGGAATAAACTCAATTATCATACCATTATTATTAATTTGCCTATCTCTAATAAAATCATCTACAACTTTATTTTTGCATTTGTATAATGGTGATAAATGATCTATTATATATTGATTATATTCCGTCCAATTGAATATACTTGTAATTATCATAAATTCCTTTGTAATAGGTTCTTTAGTTATTCCGTAACACTCTTGACTATTATTAATTTGCTAAACTTTTCAAAATTTATTAACAAAAGTAATTTAATTGTATTACGGAAAAGTTAATACATACCATACTCAAGTCTTCAGAAATGATGTTTTTAGAATTACTAAGTCTTTTAAGAACAACTTGCATAGTACCAACCCGGTTAAAGTTTGATTTACGCTCATTCCAATGCAGAATATAACCATCGATCCAAGTAGCTTTATAAATTTTATTATATTCGTTTTCGACACAAAATTTTATATTAATCAATTGATCATAGGGAATAAATTCAATCGTCATAACACCATTGTTATTAATTGGCTTGTCTTTAATAAAATCATCAACTATTTTACTTCCACTTGGCTTATATAATCTATAACAAAATTGGCAAATCTCATGATTTTCAACTTTCCTTTTTTTACATCGGGGACATTTCTTATATGTATTTCCTTCTTTATTTTGTACTGGTGTACTGTTTGCTGTAAAACTAACTATTTCTTCCATGATATTAACAAAATATTTCGTTGTGCCTTTATTATATTTAAAAGTTATGTATGGATGATGTTGTATTTATACTATAAAAGGTTAGATGGTGTTTTTTTTAAAATAAAAAAAAAGGTTAGGTTGTTTTCTATGTAACTAATTATCCGAAATTTATAGATGTAAAATATTAGCTGAATTTTTTTGCTAGACTAAATAGGAGGTTTGCTAAAAAAAAAAAAAAATAAATAAATAAAAATCAATGTTCTGATTTACTATGTTTATTGACATTATTTTTAAATTCAAACACTAAACTACAATAATTTATGTTGTATCATTTTTGTGTAACAGAAAATGAATTTTTTGCCTTAACTATTATATAAAAAAGGAAGTTTAACGGCTCAATAAATAAAAAATAGGTCTTAGCCAAATTTTGTTATTACTAAGAAATCAATCTCTTTATTATAAATGTAACGTTCGTTTTAAAAATTTGCATGTAATTTTTTGGTTAAAATATCCCATGACTGTACGTAAACAACTCAATTATGTATCCGTATCCTATAATATAATATAGATTTAGTGCAATTTGATTGTTGTCATAATTATTATTATTATGATTTTATAAATTCATTCACGAATTCCTTGTAATATACACAATTTCCCATTTAACGAATTAATACGTAATATCATTAATTAACTTATAAAATGTAACACGGAAAAATTATCAACAGCAAACATTATTGTGGGATGACTTTCTTTTATCATGCTCATGCTTTTAATGAAAATTTGAGATAAAAAAAATTTAGTGGATCGCAAATCTATCCCTATTAGGTTAAAATATATAAAAATTCGAATTTTTGTTAAATTTTACTTTCAAAAACTTTTCATGCAATCATTTGATATGTAAATAGATCGATGGCATAGTTATAATAACGGCTCGAACTCTCGTGGGTTCGACCACTCTAAGCTGCATTCCACCCTCAGTCGCTACAACCTTCCAAAAGCGATCCCAAATCCAATTTCCAAATGTTGAATTTCGCTGATCATCGGAGATTCCTGTGAAAAATATTAAATCTCAATGGAGACGATCTATTTCATAAATCTCTTCACCGAATAATCGAGTCGGTGATTATGATCCCACATCAGTAAGTAAACACGTTAAGCAATAAATTTCTAAAATTAATAAAATGATTCAGGAAAATTTCCGTTAAAACCTGTAAAACCAACCACACGAACAAAACTGCAGATGTTGACCCATTATTCGTATAACTTTATTAGGGTTGCTGCTAAAGCGATAATCACTGCACTTGAATTGGAAACCGGTAACGCAATTGAATATGTTCTTTCTCAAGCATTATTTAACGATTCTTCAGAAAATTATCTAAAACGCACATTCGCTGATTGTTAAAATAAAGGTCCAACGCACTAAACATATCATCTTCTGTTCGTCTTATTATTAGAAATAGTATTTTTAAGACTTTGAATATTTCTATGAATCTATTTTATGCGAACTAAATATTTTGAATTTATCTATATATTTATTGTTGTTACAATTCAAATATTTGAATAAAGTGTATTTATACTAGTATAAACGCTGACTAAGAAATAACCAAAACATTAAACAAAATTTCGAAACTGATCATACTGCATATAAAGAAGTTTCGCGAAATGTACAGCATTATCGAGTTAAGGTTCTGATTTATTTCCTTTTTTTGTAATCTGATCTGCATAATATAATAAATATAATACATTTTCAAGACATAAAGTTATGTTTATTTTCAACATTACTAAATTCGTTTTCCATTAAAGATAATTTTTAGATTTTCTTAAAATAAAAACAAATAATAAAAAAAAAATTAAGTCTATTGCTGCGGGTGCGCGAGTGAAATACCGTATTTCTGAAGTATACTTTATCTAGGATGATATATTTGTAAGTAATTAATGGAATTGTTGTGCCCCAAGTTACGATCTGCCCCAACTTTAAATTGGGGCAGATCCATTTGCCCAGAACTGAAATTTCAATTTCGGGCAGTTCAAATTTAAATTTCAAACTGGGGCATCTCGAATTTAATGCCCGAACTTAGCTATAATAAATCACGTGTCTCGATGATCAATTGAGCTACCCCAGTATTACCACCAAGTTTTTCATCCCACGTGACTTTTGGCCGGCATATCGGCATTAAGAAATTAACCATGTGACGAATAATTTGTGACAAATATTATTTCACACTCGAAAAAATTCTCTGTCCCCAGAATACTTATGAAAATGGAAATCGCGGAGGGTGTGACGCGGGGTGACAAATATTTCTATGATCACGTGGGGGTGAAAAACTTGATGGTAATACTGGGGAAGATGATCAATTGTGGCTTTTTTTGTTCGAGACAATAGTCCAGTTTCAAATTTGCTCCAATTTTAAATTAGGGCAATAGTCAACTTGGGGCACTGCATTTTCAGTTTCCGATTTGCCCCAATTTAAAAATTGTGGCAATAGCCAACTTGGGGCATCGCGATCCCAGTTTTCAATTTGCCCCAATTTTAAATTGGGGCAATAGCTAACTTGGGGTACCGCATTCCCAGTTTCCAATTTGCCTCAATTTAAAATTGGGGCAATAGCCAACTTAGGGTACCGCGTTCCCAGTTTCTAATTTGCCCTAATTTTAAATTGGAGCAATAGTCAACTTGGGTCACCGCATGTCTCAATTTTCAATTTGCCCTAATTTTAAATTGGGCAGCAAAATCGCATTGCACAAATTTGAAATTTCAAATTGGATTGCCCGAAATTGAAATTTGCATTTGGGGCAGATCATTAACTTGGGGCACAACAGAACCTATTGAAAAGGTACTACAAGATTCTAAAATCGACAAAAGTCAAATTCATGAGATCTTCATAGTCGGTGATTCAACACGCATTCCAAAGATTCAAAAAATGGTATCCGAGTTTTTCGATGGTAAAATACCAAATAGATCCATCAGTCCTGATGAGGCCATTGCATATGGTGCTGCCATTCAAGCTGCTATTTTATCTGGTAATACTTCAGAAAAAACTCAAGATTTACTTTTGCTCGATGTCAATGCTTTATCTCTTGGTATCGAAGCTTCCGGTGGTGTCTTGATGCCGGTTATAATGCGTAATACAACTGTACCTAATAAGAAATCAGAAATTATATCCACAAATTCTGATAATCAACCAGGAGTAATTATTCATATTTATGAAGGTGAACATGCCCGTATTAAAGACAGCAACTTTCTTGGTAAATTCGAATTAACTGGAATTACGCCAGCAAAAGGTGTTCCACAAATCGAAGTCACATTTGATATAGATGCAAACGATATTTTAAACGCATGTATTAAATATTCAACTATAATTATTATTGTAGTCATATTATAATATTTTTTGAATTTAATTTTAGGTCTCCGCTGTTGATATAACGACTGGAAGATCGAACAAAATAACCATCACGAATGACAAAGGTCGATTGTCAAGGAATGCAGTCGCACGTATGGGTATGTGATGTGATCAAATTCTAATACGTAGTTATAGTTGCTGAAGCCAAGCTTTATCTCGAAGAGGATGAGAAAGTTACCCAAACAATTCGGGCACGAAATAGTTTAGAAAGTTATGTGTTTGAGATATTTAACACACTTTATGTAAGTTTTGTTTGGCATTTTAATTATTATATAGGTAGGATATTTTAAATCTAAATTATTACCTCATTCAATAGGACCAGAAACTTGCTATGAATCAACTTGAAGATCAAATCGAAAAGTCGATTACATTGCTTGAAAATAACAAACATTTAGGAAAGGAGGAATATGATAATATAAAGAGGTCACTTGAACAAAGTGTCGACCAAATAATAACTCGGTGGAGTTGATGAGCTATATCATCCATCATATTATGTAAATCGAGATAATAAATTTTGGAAAAAGTTTAAAAAGCTATATTAATAAGTGAATCAATTAGTTTTCGTATAAAATTTATTCGTCCATAATTTTATAATTTTCAGGTTTATAATATAAAAAGAAAGGATGCCGATGAACTCAGAATCACATTTGATAAATAAAATAATATAATACTATATAATAATACGCAAATAGTTTTTATTTAAAATTTTCGCGGTTTGAAGCTCAACAAATCTAAATGAGTTTAAGCTTCATCATAATCATTATGAATCAACAATGTAAGTAAACATTTGGGAAATTTCTTTTTGATATAGGTATTGGATTTCAATCATGATGGCTCTCGAAAATGCGATATCAAGCATTAGAGTAATATAAACAAAACCTGAAAAATTTAGTTGGTGATTAGGAAAATTGCTAGGAAAATCAGGTTCTGATATTTTTATTACATTTAATTTTTGATGTTATTAGATTAAAACGCAATCTTAATTTTAGTCAAATTTTCTCAATCTTCCCATGAAATCGTAAAAATTATAAAGAATACCTGCTACTAAAAAAATTTATATCCTTCCTTCAGAAGTTTAACATATAGTTTCTATTATTTAAACATCAGAATGATGATTGTTGCGATTGTTCATTTAAGTTATTTTCAAACTTAAATTTTAACCGTTTTGGTGACTTAGATACTACTTGTAATCAATTTGGTATTAAACAATTGATTTCATTTCTATAAACAAATAGATAAAACTTATTATTAAATGGTATTTGCGACCACTCACTTTTATATATAAATTTCTAATTGCCTGATTTAAGTCTATACTTTTGCTCAACGCAACTTCAAAAAGTTAGAGAATTTATCTATAGTTTATTCATATGATCGCTTTGCAACTTACTATTTTTTAAAAGACATTGATCATTTTATAATAAAATGATGTCAATAGGTCATTAGCCGACACAGGTAGAAATCGATTTTTCACACTAAACAGATCAGATAACTTCAATACAATAAATTTTCTTTGCAGTAAAAAAGGAGAAAACTTTACGGATATAGTTTTTGCGGATTTAGATAAATTTTGGAACGAATAAAAAATGCACCATCTCAATACGATATGAATAATAAAGTACACAATTGCCGCAGTAATTGGTCGTAATTTACAAGAAATACTTTTGAGAGGGTGATTAATGATATATCTATTTATTTAGGGAAACATAATTTTCTTTTTTCATGGAGTCCAATTGCAGTCGCGTATATTATGGTAATGACGTTGATAAAAAAAAAAAGAAAGCCATATATTGAAACAATGTTGAAACAATGAAATCAAAAAACTGTTAACTTCCATCCCTTCCCTTCTCTTAATGTTTATGCATAAAATAGGCGAATTTCTTTTAATTATGATTCTGCACACGATTTTATTTAAAATAATAAAACTTTATAGAAAATACACACACATATATATTGTAGACCGCTTGGCTTAAAAAAAAATTATACTTATTTCACCTTTTAGACCGAGCTTATGACCTTGGAAACTTATAATTTTTTATGATCGATTCGATAAGTCCTAATAAAAATATTACTTCACAGAAATTGGCTAGTGATTGGGATGATGTTCAAGCACTATGATCAATCTCAATAAGTATCGCTTCTTTCTTAATTTTACGATGTCATCAAAGGAATAAACTAATAAAAGAATAAAAGGCAACTACTCAATCTACTCTACAAGTAACAAACGGAGGCGCTTCACTTTATATTCTATCTATGATAAATTTTAGCCAAATCAGCGCAGATCAATTAAAGATCATAGTCAATTTTTTAGGATCTCCCGTTTATTAATTTTGTTTATTGTAGATTTCTGGATAACCAGATGATTAAGACATATCAGATATCTGTCAAAATTATGACATAATTTTTCACAATACTTGATAATTTATGAATCATCAAGTTTAATTTGCCTATTTGAGAGAGAAACTTTAGTTTAAGGCGTAGAATTTTTTTACCGCAAATATCAATTTTCCTTTTTAACGAGTTTTCAACTTGTTTAAAAATTTAAATAATGAAGACATTCATGAGACTTCCATTGAGTTTTTTTATTTTTCAATTCGTTACACTACCCATTCACTTAACTAGCTTTCAATATGTTCAAGTTACGTAAAAAACTTTAAATATATTTTGATTAGTTGTGAACATTATTTTTATTTTTTTTTAAAAAAAGGCATTTATCATTAAAAAATATGCGTTAGTTAAATGATAAACATTTAATATTTATAAATTAATAACTTATTCTGGTGTTATATTGAGATAGTCAACTCGCAAGCAATCAAGTCAATAAATTTGAATTCGTACTGTTCGAAACTATTTAATTATTCAAACGCTAAAAGAACGTTTTAAAAAGTCATTTGTTAAAAGTAAATAATGTCAATTTTTTTTGATTCAAGCATCCTGCATTGACCTTCAAATTTTATGGCTGGACTGAAGTAATTGGGATGAAATATTCGATTAATGATTCACATTGATAATGTTCGCCATAAGAAATTTCTTATAGTCAAAATAATACTTTATTCAATGAAGAAAAATAAATGTTAATTGATTAGTATTTAAAGATTTAATCGTCATACGATTTCTGCATGCTTGAAATTTAAGTTAGTATGCATTAAATATATATGAATGTACGAAAATTTAATATATATTCTGATTGGTTTCTGAAATGTTGCCGTTTATGAACTGGTTCGGAGAGGAGCCGTTTTACAAATTTCCATTGATGAATGAAAAAAGGCGGGAAATTTTTGTTTATGGTAATATAAATCATCCAAATACGGAGTAACTGCCGATCCAAAAAAAAGCTTATAAAATGAGAATCATTTTCTTCATCAAAAAAATCAATCATTTAAACAAATTATATCAATTCAATAAATCCATTCGTTTTTTAAAATGTCTTCTGAACAATCTTATACAGATAAGGAAGTCTTTTTCGTTGATTCATGCGAAAGTATTAAAATTGAAGTCTTACATTATCCCCCTGCTAATATAATTTTGGTAAGTTTTAGTCCTTAAAGTTCTTTATAAAAAAATTGTTATTATTAATGAAGTGTAATTAATTGTATAATAGAATCATCCACCAATTTTATTCATTCATGGAATAACTATCGCGGCCTGGGCTTGGGATAATTTTTGTCACTGGTTCTCGAATAAAGGACATGATTGTTACGCTATGAGGTAAATAAATTGTCACGAAACTAAGGTTTAATGGAATCTTAAATTTATTAAAATTATCTTTTTACCTTAGTTTTCGAGGACATGGACAAAGTACAAAGACTCCAAAAAAAGATAAATGGTGGTCATTAAATGAAATCACAAATGATGTATCAGCCGTAACTGATGCAATATTTGCTAGGACCGGATATAAACCTGTTCTCGTTGGGTATATATTAATAAACTTTTCATCATTAAAATTTTTAAATTGACGTTTGATTTATTTTCACTTTGCTACTAGTCACTCATTTGGAGGTGGAATTGTTCAAAATTATCTTAAAGATAATCATCAGAAAGTGGCGGGTGGAGTTTTATTTGCATCAATTTCACCTTACAGCTACAGGACAGGCATCTTCAAATTCTTTCTTAGATTATATTCAAATATTCCAATTCTTGCTATCTTTAAAACGATTTTTACATTAGAACCGTATACAGCAGTTGGAACTCCTAAATTAGTGAAGAGAAGCTTTTCTAAAGCATTTCCTGAATCTATGGCTATAGAACTTCATCCAAAGTTCGAGAAGGCTAGTTTTGTCACTGGATTGTTAGAAGTTTTTAAGCCATTTGTGGATCCTTCAATAATTAAATGCCCTATGATTGTGATTGGCGCTGAAGAGGATAAAGTATTTGGTTTAAAAACTATAGAAGAAACTGCTGAAGCTTATGG